TGTGTATATATATATATATATATATATATATATATATATATATATATATATATATATATATATATACACAAATACACACACACACCCTTAGTTTTGAAACACAGCAATTAGGCCACCTGGCTTTTAATGAGCTATTTATTACTGTATCTCCTCGGGGAATAATATAAGCAGAATATAGATACATATGAAAGGCTAAGGATGTTTTTTATTCTGAATCTGATTTTGCCTAGCTCTAATTCACACTGTTTGCTGGCACACAGATTCAATACTCTGTGCTACTACATTTTACGCTGGTGTAAAACATCTGTGCATAATTCTGCCTTGCTAAACATCCTCTCTTTGTATTTTCAACTAAAAATGTGTGCTTCCTATCCTAACCTCTTCTGGTGTGGAGTATCTTTTCTAGGCACTGTTAAAACAGTACTATGTTCCACCCCAGAAGTGGCTGTGTTTGTGTGGTGGCGAAAGACATCATTTTTATGCTAGATGCACATGAGTATGTGTTCAGTATGTAAACAGTATACATGGTGTCTACAGTAACTCCACAGTTAAGGTTGTGTTGAGATTTTCACTTAAAGGTAAACAAACATTCCAAAAGCAGAAGGGACTTGAGGGGTGGAGTATACAGGGAGAAGTGGGGAAGTATTCCTTTAATGCGCCAGGCAAAAAATCCATGAGGAATCCTTGAAGCACAGACATGTGGACCCCCTATCATCACAGACTTCAGATCCCACAGTGCTTCCTGTGTCTGTTTCTCCTCCTCTCTAATTCCCCCCCACCCCAAATCTTCTCTCTCATGGACCAAAGAATGGTTCAGTTTACTGTCTTCTGCCCCATATGGTAACCACAGATCTCTCACTTCCTTACACAACAAGCTCTTCACTCATGAAAAACCATAATTTTGATCATATAATATTTCATTTACATGTAAAATGCTAAATTTCACCACTGTGATTACAGAAAGGCGATTTGTTTTCACCTACCTAGGATTGGAGTTCAGGTTGCACATTTAAATATGATTGTGAGGAGCTAGATGTGTGCATTGTGGTTGTTGATATGTTGGAGCTGAGAAGAAATATAGTGTGGAGCTGAGAAATCTGCAACTGGATATTATATTTGGTGGTAATGGGCGAGTTGAGGCTGGTGTTTATATGAACTGTGTCTTAATAGGTAATTTCCTGGAATATTAGTGATAGTGTTGATATAGATGCAGTTGAACAATTTTTACTGCAAGTCAGTTTCATGTGGGACTATATATGCACAGTTGCGTGCACATACACTGTGACTCAGCCTGGAAAGATCTGGGTCAGCAAATGCTCCATAGTCCTGGAATAGGGCAACATGGTTCATGAAGTCACACTGTCTGTTTTTGCTCACTAGGAGGCTCTTCTTTTTTTAAATGTCTGCTGGGAGCGATAATTGTCAGTAGCTGTAAGCAAGAGAGCAGCTTCTCTGGTACTATCAAAATGATGAGGTGGGATCACCTTATGTCAATGAGACCAATTCTGCAGAGTCAGAAGCGTAGCAGCAGCTACCCATCAATCTGTTTCAGAATCAAAACTGGGTCACAATTGTGATCCAAAACCACCAGCTTGCAGACCCATTTTCCTGTAAAGTTTCCCAAAATCAGTGGTAGAACTATTCAGGCTAACTAATTTTGTAGTGATACAATGCTCAGTTATACACAGTGACCCTCCCAATGTTTTACTTGTAAGTTTCTGTAGGGTATTGTAAGTAGTGGTTGTAGAACAAATGAAAGTATGAAGGGCATAAGTAAGGAGCCTGGTTCAAATTCAGAGAGATATAAATATAAGACTGCAAGGCATGTTTCCTTTCTAGTCAGCGTATATTTACTTAGTAGGGAGGAATAGCTCAGTGGTTTGAGCATTCACCTGCTAAACCCAGGGTTATGAGTTCAATCCTTGAAGGAGCCACTTAGGGATCTGGGGCAAAATCAGTACTTAGTCCTGCTAGTGAAGGCAGGGGGCTGGATTTGATGCCTTTCCAGTTCTAGGAAATGGGATATCTCAATAAATAAACTTCTTTTCCCCATTTACTAGAGATAGTCCCAAGTTCCAAAACTCAGAACTGGATTTTAAACACCCCTATTTTCAAGTGCTTTGATCAGGGAGTTGCTGTTCAGATCCACCTCTAGCATTTCTATTCCGAAACATTGAAAATGGGAGAGATAGGGGAAGGTTTCAGAATGCTGCTGCAGCACAGTGTGTGTTTATATAATTCACATGAGAGAGCACAGAGACAAGGCTAGCTTTGAAGCTGGGCTCTCCTAAACATTCTCTCTCTAAGGGGGATAAAATACTGAAAAATACTTGGTTTAAACTGCTGCCAAAACTCTTATAGTTTGTACCACTTCTGGAAAAGACCCTGGGGACCAGCACTGGAATCCTTTCTATTGATTGGCTGGTTAAATAGAGGCCTATTAGATTCAGACAGGCTAGATTGATTATACAGCAGCAGAAGGAGCTTAGACTCAGAGCTGAGAGAGCAAGAGAGGGAGAGAGTATGTACTACAGCATCAGTATGTGACTGCTGGTGCCTGATAACACTGATACCTAGCTCCCTCAGTGGACAACTTACTGAGCTACCTTTTTCCTTCACGAGAGGATGCCAGCCTCAAGCTTGTGCAAGCGATGATAGACTGGACCTTGGAATAGTTCATTTTACTTATCTCCTAACAAGCTGCATCTCTGAAGAAGAGGTTCATTACTGAAAACAAAAATTTGCCCTCTCCCCACTAAACCCACACAGCATTGATGATATACACAGTTTGATCCTCCAGGTAAGGATTTTATCTTTGTCCTTTCTCAGCAGTTAATAAAAAAATGCATTATTCTTTTGTATACCTTGCATGTTAAAAATACCTACAAGCTTTGGCTTCGTGTACAGTATGTATTTATTGCATATAAATTCTCTCATTCTCAGGTGGATAGGTATCAAATACTATGCATGCACAGAGAAAGGATTAGGAAGGAGCTCTAGATTGTGAAAAATCTTGATTATACTTTTGCCCCCAACTAAGTGAAAATGAATTGGTTAAAAGTGACATTTTTCTATCTACTTGTGCGATGTTATAATGTAAACTGTCCCACAGATGCTAAGCAGTTTAGGGCAATAACAGCATAGCAATAAGGCTCCCTTGTATTATTAATTCTTGGCTGTTCATGTTGTGCAGCCAGGTAAGGCAGGCATTTCACTGGAGCATTTCACAGTGCTTGTCAGTAGTTTAAAACAAAATCTGTCTTTTGACGGCAAGCTAACTACTGCTTCACAAACATGATCTGTCTTAAATGATATGGCATTATACTGCCATCTTATTAGAGATACGGCAATTATAGCTAACATTCTGCTTGCAAAGAAAAGACCAAGGCTTAGGAGCTGAAACATGAATCCTCGGATGTTCAGTTATTCTGTGCCTGATGTGCCAGTCCTATCGGGCTGATTGCCGGTTTTGATGTGACATTGACACTACACTCCCTTAAAGCATCTTTTGTTCTGCGTAAACTTTTCACATATTACATCCCTCAGCTTGGTGGGAAACAGTTTCATTACCTCTATGGAAGGTGATAGGTTAGAAAAGAAATAATCGAGCTTTAGGCTAAGCTGCAGTCAGGAAGTTGATTGACTTTGGGATTATAGGTGACAGGAGAGTAAAGCTGAAAAGACAGCACTGTGACTTCAAACAAAAGGCATTCATATCATATTCTCTCTAACTGTGATGATTTGCATCACCTTTCATGTTAGTTTGTTTGTGCTTTCTGCTTCTTGATCCCAACCAAAAGGATTTTTTTGTATTCCAGACACTTTAATTTTCTATCTGAGTAGAGTGGAGTAGTCACTACATTAATCCAAGCATTTGAGCAGTTATTCTCACAACCAGGCATAACTTTCCTGTAGGTCATCTAGTTAAGAAATTTTCACAGAAGGTTACTGATCCTAAAATGTCTGTGCTTTTAAACCCTAAATTGCAGTCTACCCCGGCGATGGCAAACCAACAATAGATATGCTGCAATTACCATTTTTCCTCCCCCAAAATATTTTGCCTATACAGTGTTGTATATGCAACATTAAAGTATTAAATATCATTTCACCTGGTAACTACAAAACCCTCACAAGTAACACAAAATACCTTATTCATACTTATTCAGTTCACTCTTCATATTTTGTAGACCTTAAATACTAATTAAAACTAGTTCTGTAGGGCAACATGGTCACAGATAAATTTTTGAAATTGGCATTAGTATAAAGGACCAGAGTGCATACTTGAATGGGTAAGTGAGGTATCTGGGCTCATTTTTAATATACTTTATGAAAAAAATTGCTAGAAATGTACAAATGCAAACTGACAAGCCTTAAAAAAAAAAACCCAAAACAGTATCTGTCTATTCTATTCAGCTTTCTGCTTTCTTAAATAGTCCCAGTGTCTGTCTACAGTTGATAAACACAATTTATGCATATAGGTAATTCCAGCCTTTCCTCCTGTGATATTCTTCACATTTAACAGTGGACTCAGTTAGGGCCAGATTCTGTGGCATTTACATGCATTGAATAGGACCTCACTACATGAGCAGTCTCAATAGAATAAATAAGACTGCCAGCCAGAATACAGTACTGTACACGGTGAGTAAGTGTCAGAATCCAGCCCAAAGCAAGAGAGAGAGAGAGAAATGCTTTTTATTTTATCTACTGACAATGTTAACAGAGCACAGTATACGTGTCAGATACTGAAAGGAGTAGAGCTAGCACGTATATTAGTTGTGGCTGGGATTTTTCACCCAACTCCCATTGAATTTCATTAGGAGCCGAACCCCTAACTCCCTTAGGTGGCTATGAAAATACACGCCTGTCTCTTTAAATATGTAGCACTGAGGGTAACATTTACGAATACTACTTTTGCATAGCTTTGACTAAGAGCCCTCCGAAAGCTTTCACATTTCACCTCTCCCTTTTATCTATGCAGACATGCTTGTTTATTGAACCTGTGCAAATTTAAATGTACCACTTATGAAAGAGAGGAATCACTGATTGTTCTTGGTTGTTTCCCTCAATGGCATTTCCCCCTCCCATATAAAACTACAAAATAAGCATCAGTTTTAATTTAATCAAAGAGGGGGTGTAATATCAACAAGCCCCCCTACAAACAAGTATCTAAAAACATTAACACATTGATGGTCATCATGAAATTCTAAAAGAAAATTACAAGGATTTTATTTTTCTACTAGCAATACTCAGCTTGAATAATTATTAAAAAAAAACACACAGGAAAAAAATCCAAAGCCTTCACATTATTTTAGGTTTTGAGAATGTGCTATTAAAATGTGTTGATAGCATCTGTGCATAAGTTTTACACCATAAGGGTTCACTTTTGTCAGTCCCTGGTTTAAATAATTTAATTTACCTCTTAAACACGTGTTCGTTTCAAACTGGATTTATGTAGTCTAAACTGTTCATTTCCTTTGATTTTTTGAGCACAGAGAATCTTGACTGATCACTCCATTTCACACTTTGGTTCAATAATATCAACCATTTACCCAAATTACTAATTTTTCCCATTCAGAAACTCATTTTGCTTCTGCTTTCCACCAGGAACTCAGGAAACTGAAATCTATTTATTTTCACAGTTAACTTGAAGCCATTAGGGGGCTCTTTCTTCCTATACTATTCACACAGCAGGCCACGTTGGATAGATGCTATTGGTTCCTATACTCATTTTTAAATAAGTTCTGCTTGGATGAGTTTATTCTGAACATGTAACTATTTTAATCAGGCAGAACAACTGGAAAATATTTATTGATTTATTTGCATTCATGCCGATGGTTGGGAGGCTAGTCCTGATGCTGATGCTGATTTATACAGCTATGTTTTAAATGTATTGTGTATGTCCGTCCATCCATCCATCTCGCTGTCCGTCCAGTGTGTGTAGGGAAATACTTTCAAGAAAAACAAGACAACTGCATTTAATATTAGTTGCTGCAAATGTCCAAAAGATGCTACATATCTGCTCATTCCAGAAACATTTCCTGGGAACTGTCATGAAAAGAAATAGTTGATGAGTGCTCTGATATGGTTAGCGAAAGACTCATATTTGACTGAGCTGCCTGATAAGAACCTTTAAGTTGTTTGGAATATGGAATAGGTAGTTTCTTCAGACATGCAACATTCTATTTGAAGGAGAGAATAGATGACAGTGAACTTTAAAGTGGATGCTATTTGTTTGAAATGAGACAGAGAGAAAATGCTACACTCTTCATTTCCCTTTTTCTCTATCAGCCTAAACCTGAAAACACTTACTCATGTGAGTAATCCCACTGAAGTCTCTTTTGGCCAGATTCTGAAGCTCTTGATCATGCTGAGTATTACCTGACTTGAGAAGCCACCCGAGTGGAATACGACACTATTCCATAGGCATGTCTCTGAGTATTACTTGCAATATTCGGTCCTATTTCTGTATATAGTATTATTTAACATAGCAAATTGACATCAATACAGGGCAGCTGAAACTTAGATGAAAAGTAACAGAAGTTAGCTTATCTAGTGAAAATATTTTCCAATGGAGGTTATACCAATAAGTATACTTAGAGCGATCAGTGGTTAGCAGTGTTGCCCTCTCTGTACTGAGGGATCCCTCACACTAGCAGCACACATCCTATTGTGTGGCAGATTTGCTGCACAGTTCCTCCATGCAGGAGGTCACTCCTCAGCAGCTTCCTCAGCATTGGTAACTGTTGCACAGTATCGGAGGTGGCTCTGGGGACTGAAACTGAGCAGTCAAAGGCTATGAAAAACCCATTTATAAATCTCAGTGCCAAAATCTAGAAACAAAATCTTTCTACTTGATTTAGGCAAATATTGTAGAAAAATATCTACTGACTGGGAGATTTTTCTCCAAATAAATTATATTAAAGTAGTATTTTTCTTTTAAATGCCATCATTGTGCTGTACTGCACACTGATATGGCCTCAACTGGAGTATTGTGTCCAGTTCTGGGTGCCACATTTCAGGAAAGCTGTGGACAAATTGGAGAAAGTGCAGAGAAGAGCAGCAACAATGATTAAAGGTCTAGAAAACATGGCCTGTGAGGGAAGATTGAAAACACTGGGTTTGTTTAGTCTGGAAAAGAGAAGACTGAGGGAGGGACATACGTTTTCAAGTATATAAAAGGTTGTTACAAGGAGGAGGGAGAAAAATTGTTCTCCTTAACCTCTGAGGATAGGACAAGAAGCAGTGCGTTTATATTGCAGCAAGGGCAGTTTAGGTTGGACATTAGGAAAAAAATTCCCAACTCTCAGGGTGGTTAAGCACTGGAATAAATTGCCCACGGGGGAATCACCATCATTGGGGATTTTTAAGAGCAGGTTAGACTAACACCTATCAGGGATTCTCTAGATCAGTGGTTCTCAAACTAGGGCCGCTGCTTGTTCTGGAAAAGCCCCTGGTAGGCCGGGCCGATTTGTTTACCTGCTGCGTCCGCAGGTTCGACTGGTCGCGGCTCCCACTGGCTGCGGTTTGCCACTCCAGGCCAATGGGGGCTGCAGGGAGGGTGGCCAGCGCGTCCCTCAGCCAGGGGCTTTTCCAGAACAAGCAGCAGCCCTAGTTTGAGAACCACTGCTCTAGATAATTCTTAGTCCTGCCATGAGTGCAGGGGACCGGACTAGATGACCTCTTGAGGTCCCTTCCAGTTCTATGATTCTATGATTGCCAAGGGATCTGTTGCTAAAACATGAGAAGACAGGCTCAAGGGAATGCATACACTAAAAACAGTGACACAATGTGAAGTTGGAA